AGGGTATTCATTGGCTTTCTGTCCTTCTGGCAGGTATATAAAGAAGCATGTTTATTCTATTCTCTTCAAACTCTGATCCAAATCCTGGAGGATCTTTTCACTCTCAGGCTTAAAGTCAGACTCAGGGCATTCTTCCCCAAGAAGCCTGGCAACAGTCTGTAACCGTCTTCTGTGAGGGTTTCAACTCCAACTCCCTATCCCAGCCACACTCAGAGGGTCAGAGTAATGAAGTGGAAAAGATACGTTCACGCTTTTGGGCAGCATCTGCTCCCATCTCTAAGCAACCAGGCCCTGGATTGCAGGGTGGCGACCCAATGCCGCCGCCTCTGCCGCCCACCAGTGTTTGTGCTCCAGCTGATGAAGCGAGTTAAAGGGTTGTACAAACTCAAGACGCTGAACAAACAGACCAGAGTGTGCTGAGCAGATGTCCAGAGGGAAGCTGCAGCTCCACACCATGGAGTATGCTGACCCATGGGCTGGCCTGGCACCCTTCCCCAGGACCCAGGATACAGGGACCCAAGAGAGCCAGCCCTGGCTGCTGGGTAGTCCACCAGGCATGAGACCCACCCTCACCTTCTAAACCTCCATTCCAAATGGAAGAATCATCTATGAGTGATGAATGTTTCGGCTCCAGGAGAAGGCTACTGGCCATTTCCTCCTAGGCCACAGGGAAAAGCCATTTAGCTAATTTGAAGCCCCCTTTCTACCATTGAGGTGATAGCCCACCTCTGGGTATATTTATTTTTTATTTTATTTTTATTTTTTTATTTTTTGGTGGAACTGGGGATTGAACTCAGGCCCTTGAGCTTGCCAGGGAAGCGCTTATTCCACTGAGCCATCTCCCCGGCCCCGGGGTATATTTATTATACTGTACCCTGTACTACATAAAACCTTAGGACTCAGAAAGTCCCTAAATTGCTAAGACATGGTAGTGCATGCCTGTAATCCTAGCACTCAGGAAGCTGAGGTAGGAGGAGTGCCATGAGTTTGAGGCCAGTCTGGGATACACAGTGAATTCAAGACCAGCTTGATCTACAATAGTGAGACCCTGTCTCAAAAAAGTCCCCAAATTTGGGCATCCACGGCACTGTATTCCCTTAGAGTCCCAGCTCATCAAGGAGCAATGATTCACAGCCCTACGATAGCATGAGAGATTTGATTTAGGAAGCTCTTAATCATGACCCTGAAGACTCCTTCGACCTCAAAACAAGAACATGGGTGGGAGACACATACAGAGAGTGCCATTGTGTGGCTAGCTGTCTCTGGGAGCCGCTCCTGAAAGTTCTGCTTTTTAAAGGCCTGGGCTGTGTCAGAGCAAGATTCAGCCCCGCTCAGCAGAAGCCCCTGCCAGCCAGGAGTGTTGCCCAACAGCTCTGGCCTGTCCTCGCTGACCTGCTTCCCATTCCCCTTTTGGGGTCTGTTCTCATGAGATCAGGCCTCATGGGACAGGGGAATGTCTAAGGATATCCCTGCAGGCCAGAAAGGGGTGGGAGGAGGTGACTTCAGAAGTGTGTAGAGAGCTGGCCTAAGCAACTGAGGACTGGGGGTGGGGTGACAGCGGCTCTTGGTGACTACAGCAGTAGTCTGGAGCTTCCAGACCAAAGGCTGACAACTTTTTTCCATAAAGGACCAGAGAGTAAATATTTCAGACTTTGTGGCCATATGGTCTCTGTCATGACCACCATAGCACAGAGGCAGCCAGAGATAGCGTGTGGACAAATAAGCCTTGTGAGGTCCCCACAGGACTTTATCACAACAGGCTGCAGTCTCGAGTTGGCCTCGGGGTGGTGATTTGCTGATCTCTACTGTAGATCCAGGATGGAGACCTGAGAGGACAGGTCATCTGCCTCCCATGCAGCAGATCCTCAGTAGCCAAGTGCTTTAAAGGATGACCAGATAGTCCCGCTGCCTGCTTACCATCAAAGCTAAAGACTTTTTGCCTCCTCTGAAGAGGAAAGCCAGGCACTCAGAGACCCTCCCATGAGCCTCAGCTTCACGCTAGCTGGGCAGAAGGATTCAGTGGACAGGCCCTAAAGCAAGATGCCCTGAGGCAGGCTGAGACAGCAAGCTTTCGTGCAGAATTTCCACAGGGTCCACAGCTCTCCTCAATTTATTCATGGACCACGCAAAGGGCCAAAAACCCCTAGGGTGCAATCCCTCGCTCAATTAAAAAGAGAACTAGTTCCTTTGTATTTGAAAAAGCTCTTAGAAACTGTTAAAAAAGAAAAATGGTTGTTAAAAACCTGTAGAAAAATAGACAAATGACACTAAGAATTTATAAGATAAAAAAAAAAAAGATACAAATGGCTAAAAAAGAGGTTAAAGGATGCTTCTGAAATAATTTTTAAAAAATCACAGTATATCCTTTTTCACAAAGTCTGAGTAATACTTAAATAAAGATGAATGAATGGTCATGGAGGGAGATGGAAAAGAAGGCACTTTCAGACATGCTAGTAGGATTGTGCTACTGTATTACCGTTTTAGGAGGCCATTTAACAGCACATATTAAATTTTAAAACATGCTTAGGCTGTGGCCCAGCAATTCCACTTCCAGGAATTTATTTTATTGAAATACAGAGACAGGGAAATTCACCTCAACAGGATCCATAAATTGCAGAAATTCAAAACTACACCTAACCAGCACCGCTAGGATGCTGGTTGCATAAATTACACTACATCTATATTATAAATTAACACAGAACTGTTTAATAATGAGGGAGATCTCTAGAGTTTAAAATAAGGTAGAGATAATTCAGCTCAGTAGAATTAGTGCTTGCCTGGTAAGCGCAAGGGCCTGAGTTCAATCCTGGTTCCATCAAAAATAAATAAATAAATAAATAAATAAATAAAAATAAAAAATAAATGAATAAATAAAATAAGGTAGAATTCTGAGTCTGGGAGATAGTTCAGCAGTGTAAGCACATGGCTGGCAAGAGCAAGGTCCTGAGTTTGACCCCTGATACAAAAAAAAAAAAAAAAAAAAGGTAGACTTGTAAATACTGCTGGGAAAAAAAATCTAAAAGATACATTAAGTGGAAAGATACATTAAGTGTAGTCCAGGTGGCCTAGAACTCATGGTGGTCCTCCTGCCTCAGCCTCCCAAGTGCTAGGATTACAGCCATACCACAAAAATCATAAAAAAGAAAAATAAATAAATAAAAATAAGAAAAGTACATGTACGGGCCTATTGCCTGCTCTGAATTTTTTTTTTTTTTTTTTTTTTAAGATAAGTTCATAGTTCACTTTTAAGCTTTTTTAGAAGGGGACTTACAAAGTATGGTGCTTTTTATATATTTAATCTACATGTGTGTATGTTACTAGGGACAGAACCAGGATCTCAAGAACGCTGGGCAAGGGCTCCCCTACTTTCCCTTACCCTAACCCCTCTTATCTTCTGCTTTATTACAAAAAAAAGCATTTCTGTATTTTGGAGCTTAAATTTCTCAAATTCCAGAGCCATTTTGTTCTTTTACCCCTGAAATTCAGACCTGCTGCCACAGAACCCCAGCATGACTAAAATAGCGGAGACGATGCCAGTTTCATTTTTCACCTGGATGCATGGGTGGGTGGTTTTCACCCTGAAGAACAAACAGAACCACAACTCTGTTTCACAATTTACACAATTTAGGGGAACCTGGACATATGATGGTGAACATTTCTTAACAGTTTTAACATGTTTTCCTCTAGGAATTTGGAGGGAGGATGTATCTATTTTTTTCTTTTAAATCTACCTGTAAAAGAATCTAAACAAATGTGCCCAAAAGAATATGTGTCTCTCCCTGACCCCAACACAAAGTAACCAAGTCCTCGCCTTCAGGGGTGTCAGGGACGCCTCATGGATCCCCACCTCAGAACACAGCGCACTTACTGGCCCGGCTCTGTTCACCTACCACAGACTGCAGTGAACTTTTCACGTCCACAGACCTGGGCCCACTTGCTGAACTGAGTTAGCAAGGCACAGCAGAGAAGAGGGCAGGAGAGGGACCTTGGGCCTGGAATCTGGTATGCAGCCTGCAGGCGATCACCCAGATGCCAGCACCTCTCCTAGCTCCTTATCAAAGGACTAGAAGTCCCACAGCTCCCTTAGAACAAAACACAGGCTCTTCAACAGCATGACTCACCAGCAAAAAGGGAAATCAGAAACCAGAGTGCAAACAGGTAATGGTACATACTGTGTTCTGAGAACAACTTCGTGGTAAACTAAGGCAATGAGATTTCCCTGTTGGGCAGAAGGCCACTACTCTTAGTGCCTTCCCAGCTCTGAATGGCACCCTCGCCTGACCCAGAGGCATGCACAGAGCTCCTTTTCTCCTTTTCTTCCCTCCAGGGCACACATTTTTGTTCCCACGGCTCCTCCTTCAAAAGCAAACCCTCCCCACAACCTCATTTTGTGATATCTTGTTAGCCCCAAGAAAGGGGCACATAGTATGGTGAGAAAACACCATTCTCTCCAGAACCAGGCTTCTTTTGTTTCCCTTCTTTTTCTTTCCTTCTTTACTCCTTTACCACTGAACCACACACACTAGCCTACTGCTCTGGCACTTAAGAAAACCAAGAAGAGACCCCACATGGGTGTTCCTGAGTCTGTCCCTCAATTCTGGGCAAAGGCAAAGGTTGGAGGTGAGGAGATTCAAGGGAGGTTTGTTTTTTGGTTAGCCAGCACTCCCAAAGACACTGGTGATGAAAAGCAAAAGTGGGCAGCAGGCTTTTCCTTGTGGCTCCTGTTTTCCTTCTGCAAACGGTTAGTAGACTGTCTCCTTAGTGCTGGGGCCTAGGCGAGGAGGGAGGGGCCCAGGCACCCTAACAGCCACACCCTGCTGCCAGCAGGGCCTCCCAGCCTGACAGGCTAGGATTGGCTTTGTTGTCATCCCTTCCCTTTTTGGGACATTTAGGATTCTATAGGTGAATGGAAGCCAAGGCAGTGTGCATCAACAAAAGCTTCCTGAAATTCACAAGCAGATTACTGAGAACAGAAACAAAAAGAAAACGGGGATACTCACTGTTAATGAAGTGAAGGTCATGCACATCCCACCAAAGCCATTCAGAGCCAGGGCGATGAAGATGAGCACAGAGAGAGCTGTGGGGAAGCAGTCGTAAGTGGGAGCCACAGCTGAGCTTCAGCAAGGCCACTGGGCTTAGTGTCTGATACCTACCTAGGAGGGGAAAGTGCCTGGCTTGCCCTCCTCCCCTGGCCTACCTCACACATTTGAACTCTTGCAAAAGGCAAGCGCTCAGCCTCCTTTCTACACTAACCTACCTGCAGGCAAGAGGCCTAAAGGACCTGCTTCACTAAAAGCAAAAAACCGAGGTTTCCAAAAATCAGTAAGAGGATTGGGGATATAGCTTAGTGGCACAAGTGCCTGCCTGGCTAGCGTAAGGACTTGATTTTAATCCCACGTGCTGTGCTAGGCCCCGGAACCCCAGGTGGTGCACACCTGTAATTCCAGCACTGGGGAGGCTGAGACAGGAGGATCACTGTGAGTCTGAATTGCATAGCAAGACCCTGTATTAAATTAAATAAAATAAAAATAAATTTAAAAAAACAATCAGTAGATGAGCCTGGCTACAATTCCGGGGAGGTCCAGGTCCTATTTTGGTGTTTGTTCTCAAAGTCTTTGAACCAACAGCTCCCTTATTTATTTATTTAATATATTTGGTTGTTTCAGGGTCTCACTACGCAGCTTGGAGTCATGGTGATCCTCCTGTTTTCAGCCTTTCCAGTGCTGGGGTAACAGATGTGAGCCACCACGCCTGCATTCTGGCCAGCTCAGCCCACCCTGGGGACAAGGCCGGTGCCAGCATGTGGTGCCAAAGATCAAACCACAGTCCCTGTGCTTGCCTAAGTGCTTTAGTCTGCTGAGCTATCTCGACAGCCCTAGCCCCCATATTTAAAGCACTGACCTGGGTTGCCTTGCAAAGGTTCAGCTCACAACTTTTGTACCCACAGAGGCCCAGGAACCTGCAGCCAGCCCAGTTCCTAGAGCTTGTCTCACTGGCTGACATCAGTGAGGCCATCAGGAAGTGGCTGGCTTGAAGAGGACATGGAGTTCTGCACATGCTGGGGCTCCTCTAAACACCTATATGGGGTGATTCCTCTCTTTCTTGGCCACCCATGTGAGATAAGCAATCACCAGAGGCCTAACAAGTATCCCCTCTAGCTTGAGCAGGGAGTGCCAGGCCCCACTACACAGTATCCAACAGCTGGTGGGCCAGGGCGCACCCCTGGGGGGTCTCTCCCTGTTCTTTGACAAAAGAGTGGAGGAAAGGCAAGGCAGACTCACAGTTTGGGTTACTTGCTCCATACGCAATCAGCAAGCAGGAGACAGCAAAGCAGGCACTAAAACCAAGCAGAAATAGCACATGATCTTAGAAGTTACCAATTGCTACTAAGTGTGTTATCATTTAAGGGTGTTTACTCTGTGTTCTTTCAGAACACTTACAATCATTTGATTAAACAATCCCAGGAACTACGGGTGGCACATGTCTGTAATCCCAGACCTCTGGGAGGCAGAACAATCACAAACTTCAGCCCAGGCTAGGCAATTTAGCGACTGAACAAGATCCTTTTTCAAAATAAAAAGCGGCTGGGGATGTAGCTCAGTGTGAAGGTCCTGGGTTCAATCCCTTGTACTACAAACAAATAAAATTTAAATTTTTTAAAAGTCCTGGAGAAGGCTGGCCAGATAGCCCAGCTGATTAAAGTGCCTGTTTAGGCAGAGTACAGCAGCTGAGGTTTGATCCCTGGTGCACAGTGCAGTGCTGGTCCTGCTCCCCAGGCATGCTGAAACTTGATTGAGACTGGACACGATGGCATGCACCTGTAATCCCAGTGCTTAGGAGGCTCAAAACAGGAGAATCACTACGAGTCTGATCTACGTAGTGAGACCCTGTAGACCCTGTACTAAATAAATAAATAAATAAATAAATAAATAAACTGGGGATTGCTAAGAAGAATGGCCCCTACTTGCTGATAAGGCAAAAAAAATTATTATTATTATTATTTATTTATTTATTTATTTATTTATTTTGTGGAACCAGGGATTGAACTCGGGCCCTTGTGCTTGCCAGGCAAGCGCTTATGCTACTGAGCTATCTCCCCAGCCCCCCAAAAAATATTATTGAAAGAAAAACAAAACCAAAAAAAAATGCTGGGCATTGCGGCACATGCCTATAATCCTAGCATTTGGGAGGCTGAGGAAGAAAGACTGTCATGAGTCCAAGGCTAACCTAGGATATATAGTGAGTTCAAGGCTAGCCTGAACTACATAGCAAGACCCTGTCAAAAAACAAACAATAAGGGGGGAGGGGGGAAGGAGAGAGGAAAAGGAAGGAAAAGGGAGAAAGAGGGAGAGACAGGGAGAGAGGAGGAGAGAGGGAGAGAGAGAGAGAGAACAAAAAGAAAAAACAAATTTTTCTAAGGTTTTCTGCCAAGTAAGAGAGAAAGTTGGAATCAAAGTCCCCCAGCCAGATCTCATAAACCCCACACTAGGCTGCTGCACAGGAGAGGAACAAGGCTCCGAAGCAATGAAAAACACAAGCATTCCTCAGGTTCCAGAGTCTGCTCAGCCAGGGATGCCCCCAGGAGAAATCAGGGAAATGGCCGGCTGGCTACTCCCAAAGCCCCTCCGCTTGGCTGTGCCCTGTTCTGCTCTCTGAAGAGCGAGTAGAACTGACCCCTCAACCTATTCCCTTCAGTCACTGCCCCCCATCCTGTGAGCAGGCCCCTGTAAAGTTCCAATGGGAACAGGGAGGGGGCAGACCTGAGAGCCCAGCTGAGGGAGAACTGACCCGAACCTGACAGCTGGAGCATTAGAGATGGGAACCCGGGGGCACACAAGGTGACCCATTGGGGTGCTAATATATTAGGACAGGAATGGCAAACCTTTCACAGACCAAGTGCCAAACTGCAACTCAAAACTCGTGTATCAGAGTGCTAACACTGCAATTAAATCTGAATGCTGAAGTTTTAGTTTAGAAAAAACAACTCTACATTAACATCTTTATTTATTTATCTATTTTTATTTTTTCTTTTGGTGGAACCAGTGATTGGACTCAGGTCCTTGTTCTACTGAGCCATCTCCCCGGCCCATTGTTTTTTTAAATTTTTATTTTTTTTAAATTTTTTTTGGCAGAACTGGGGATTGAACTCAGGCCCTTGCGCTTGCCAGGGAAGCACTTAATCCACTGAGCCATCTCTCTGGCCCCTCAACATCTTTTTTTTTTTATTTGTGTATTTAGTACAGGGCCTACAGGGTCTCACTATACAGATCTGCCTCATTGTGATCCTCCTGTTTTCAGCCTCTCAGGCCCTGGTATTATAGGTGCGACCCACCACGTCCAGTCTCAATCAAATCTCAGTGCGCCCCAGGGGCAGGGCCTGCATGGATACCATGCTGGGGATTGAACCTGAGTCTCTGAGACGGCCTAAGCAGGCACTTTAATTCACTGAGCTATCTGGCCAACCCTTACATCAACATATTTCGTCCTAAA